AAAAGAAAAAAATCAGAGGGAAGAAAATGCCACGTGGTTAAGACAAATTAAAGAACACACAGAATTTTAAAAGATGATTTACTTGCCAAGCATAGCGGTACACATCTTTGATCCCAGCCCTCAGGATGCAGAAGCAGGTGGATTTCCAGATGCCAGACTGCTGTCAGTGAGACCCTGACTCAGAAAGACTTAATTCTATCTCAACAAATAAATCAATCAGAAAGTGGGAAACCATGAAAGTCTGTGTGTATACACACTTGCGTGTATGTGCATATATGCACATATGGAGGCCATAGGTCTGCATGGGCTTTGTTGAGACAAGGTCTCTAACTTTGCCTGAGCGTGCTCACTTTAGTCTTTAAGAGGGATCATGTCCCCACCTCTCCAGCACTGGGACTGCAAGTGTGCATCACCCTATCAGTTTGCTTTTGGTTTGTCTTTTTTTTTTTTTTTTTTTTGAGACAGTTTCTGTATGTAGGCCTGATTGTCCTTGAACTCACTATGAAGAGCCTGCTGGCCTCAAACTCACAGGAGATCTCCCTGCCCCGACCCCTTGAGTGGTTTTGATTAGGGAGATGATCAGAAACTGGTAGGATAGTGTAGAAGGAAGAGGATGACAATAATAGAAGGCAAAGGCTGTAGCTTAGTCAGGAGAACACTTGCCTAGCATATATGTGGCTCTAGGTTTGTCCTTAGGAGCACACAAACCAGGTATGGTGACTTAGACTATCTTTCAGATACACAGGGTATCTGAATCCAGCTTAGGCCACATAAGATTCTGTCTTGACAACAATAGTAATAATACAAGGTAAAAGACCACTGAATTCACTGGGCTGTGGTGGGCAGAGGCAGGTAGACTTCTGAGTCCGAGGCCAGCCTGGTCTACAGAGTGAGTTCCAGGACAGCCAGGGCTATGCAGAGAAACCCTGTCTTGAAAAAAACAAAAACAAACAAACGACCACTGAATTAATCACAAAGCAATCTAAACTGGGTAACACTAACAGTAATGAAAGAGAGTCAGAGAGGCAAAGATGATGTGGCAGCTGTCTGTGCATGGGAGGAGGAGGCCTACTAGGGGAAGTGCTAAGATGACATAAGAGGATTTAAGCATGGTTACCTGGAAGAACAGTGGAATCACAAGGTTAGGGTTCTGGGGTGAAGAAGTAGAAAACAGAATAAGTACTACATTAAACTTTAATTAAATGCCTCAAAGGTAACTGAAAAAAAGTAGATTAAGGTTCCACTGCTTAACCCCCCACCCCCCCAAAAAAAAAAAACCATGAAGGGCATCTGATGATCTGAGTTCAATCCTTGGAACTCACATAAGAGTCATATATCATTATTAAATAAAAATAGGATTACAGTTTGGCATGGTGGCTCATGCCTGTGGTCTTACCACTTGGAAGTGGAGACAGGAGGATCATGAGTTCAAGCCAAGCCATCTCGGTGCACAGAAAGTGTGAGGCAAGCCTAGGCTATCTGAGAGGGTCTCAAATGCAAAAATGCACATATAAAGTTGGTAAAAACTAAAGTGCAATTAAATTACTGCCTTTTCGAACCAAGAGTAGGTTGTAAATACAGCAGAAAGAAAACCATCACATGTCTTCAAGTAGAAATAGTAAACATGAAATATACTTATCTCCCCTCCTAAACCTTTTGTCAGAAATAAAAACCCGACTGCAGTGCTTGGTCTTCAAGTGAGCTTCCAATGAGGAGACACAATGTGAGAGCGGGATGTGCTAACTAGAACATGTTAAACTATGCCAGGAGGACAAGCTCAAAATCCCAAACTGGGAAGACTAGAAGAAAAGGGAAATAAATCAGATAAGAAACCTATAGATTTCAAACATCAAACATATATATGACCTTGTTTGTATCCTTGATCAAGGGACCCAGTTACTAAAAAAACAAAATTCAATACATAGATATAAACACAACTTGGGAAAATCTGAACACTGATGAGTATTTGGTGATGTTAGTTTTTAAAAGCAGGACAATGTGACTAAGGATTTTCTGAAGACTCTTATCCTCCAGATAGCTATGGATATAGATAGCTAAGTCAGTAAAGTTATTATTGTCATTATTATTTCATCTAGGATTTACTACTTCACAAAGAAAGTAGGAAGGTATAGCAATGAGACTGAAGTGAGTCAATGGCTTGCTAATTAGCATTTTCCATACTAAATAAACTGTAGAGAAGGTAAAAACAAACAAAACAACTTCAGCTTCACCAATTAAAAACACAAGAGGCAGAAATGGCTTTGAATTTAACCTACAAGTTTTATAAGTTGGCAGTTCTGATGTAGTCACACTACCTCAGGATTCCCATTGGTTAAAATGAAGATAAAGAAACTTATATTTGCTCCAGCTAGCAACTTGAACCACATCCTTAACTTCACCCTTGTTTCTCACCTCCAACAAACACTCAGCTAGTCCCCTACCCAAAACCCTGTTTCCTTCATTTTCCCAAAGATTCCCCTAGGTACTCACATAGGGTCCCACTCTAAGAACCTCCTCAAACCAGCTATCTATCCCCAGAACTAAAATGCAAATCTGCTCAGCCACACCTCATTCTTTTTTAACTGTTTAGTCTCTTTCTGTGTCCTTACAATGACTTAAGACACTCCACTGGCTGACACTTCTCTTCCCTCTTATTATTTTTGACCTCTCTATGCTTTAGTTTTTGATGAAACTCCTTCAGCTTCTGCATGGCCCCAGCACTGTCTGAAATGCCCTTTCAGCCAATCACCACCTATGCCAAACTAGCTCCCACCCCTTTGTCAAACTGCAGATTAAGTAGTATTTCCTCAGGCATACCTAGTGTTTCCTTAAATTTAGCATCTTTTCACACATACACAATACAGTTTGTTCCCATGGTAACCTTACTTTTCCCCTAACTCTGTTGCTAAGAGTACTTAACTACATCTGCTTTCCAACTAGACTACAAACCCAAGGGTAAATACTAGAATCCATTCTCTGCTGAATCCTAATGTCTCTAGCCACAATTTTCAGTTTTGTGTTCAAGTTCCATATTCCTAGTCCTTAGTATGGGAAATAAAGTCAAGCAGGCATTATACAGGGACCCAGACCTTGCATGAAATGCATACTGGGACGTTCCTGAAGCACAGTGGGAATGAAAGTTTCAAGGAGTTGGGAGAACACTCATCTAACACTGTTTTTGGCCTGAGTTTACAGGTATCCATGTTTGCATCACCTCATCCCCACCCTGCCCCCCTTAATCTGTTTAGGATTATGTAAATCGTACAGCTAAATCTTTAAAACTCTCAAAATGCTCCTCAAACTAAGAACTTTCATATTTAACAAGGTCACAATCTGATAAGCCAACAGTATCTACTTAAACCCACAATGAAATTACTGAAATACGCTCAAATAAAAATTTGTCCTAGGCTGGATATGGTGACAGACGCTTTTAATCCCAGCACTGGGGAAGCAGAAACAAATCTCTGCGCTCAAGGCCAACCTGGTCTACAGAGTTCCAGGACAGCCAGGGATACACAGAGAAACCCTGTCGCCAACCCCCCTCAATCTAAAGTCTTGAATTATTGGTCATCTCTTATGGTACTTGTAAGGCAAAGTTGTAAAACTTGGTCATTTTTACTTTGCTTTTTTTTTTTTGTTTTTTTTGAGGAGGGTCTCACTATGTAAAGCCTATACCTCCTGCCTGTATACCTTGGATTTAATTTACAAAAGGCTAAGGCCAAGGACTGTCCACCCCCCCCCACACACACACCCGAAGACTTGGACTTAGGACCATTTACTAACTAATTCGAGATAGTCTCTTTCTTATTCAGCTCAGAAAAACAAGCAAAAAACCCACACTGCTTGACTTAGTTCCTAGCCACCCTTTCGCAAACTCTCAATACAATTACTAATCTCACACGTCAGCATATAGTCATTTTATTTCAAAACCAAAATAGTTTTTTTCCCCCAATGCCGGAGATCAAACCTTGGAGCCTCAGGCATGGTAGGCCAGGTAGGTACTCTTACCACTGAGCTGTACACACACCTCCAGCCTAAGCTGTATAATGCCTGAAGATTTCAAAATTAGTTATGGGTAAAAAAAACAAAAGTAGCTTGTCACTGTGTAACTACTAGCAGTAGCCGGCCAGTTTATAATGAGCCACTGGAAAACGGGAAAAGACTGAAGTAGTAGCACGTGCGTTTCCTGGTTGAGTGATCAGAAGCTAGTTTTCGCAACTGCTGGTTGCACCAAAAACGCCACCATAAAGAAAGGCTAAAACGCACTCGAAAAAGGGATGTACTTGGCCCAGAAAGCGAGCTCTGACCAAATGTAAAGATATTTAAATCTTCTCCAGGGGATGCCTTAAGACCCCGTGCTCGCGGCAGACGCGCTGAAGCCACAGGTTGGACCACAAAGAGCCCCTATCCCAACCTTCCGCCCCTTCCTCAAAGTTCATTCGAACCCCGTAGTGTCGTACCGGCGGTCCGCAATGCAGCTCCCCACATTCCTCACACCACTCTAGCGAGTCACCAGGTGGGACACCGATTGGCAGACGTGGGAGGCTGGGCGGGTGTGCCACGAGTCCTAAGTAACTCCCGCCCCAGTGCCTTCCCTCTGAGCAGAAGGCGGCAGGAGTGCACCACGTGAACCGGCCTCAGGTCGTCCCTCTTCCCGACCTAAGCATCTCTCCAGGAGCCTAGAGTAGGCTTCACTGGAAGTGTCTCCCCCAAGGTCACCGGGCACCATGACCCGACTCCCGCAGCCCGGCGGCCGCCACCTGACCATGGGCCCGCAGCTCGGCCGGGAGAGACGCTGTGCCCGGAGCCTCAAGGTCCCCTTCACCCACGCCACGTTCCGGGCCATGCGGCTCCGCGCGCCCAGGATGCCCCGTCGCTCCCCCCCACCCTTGCCCCAGGGACGAAAGTCTCCGCGTGCCCGCCGGGCTCCGCGACCCCACCGGGGCACCAAGGGCACCGCGGATTCCGTGCAGCGCGCTGCCCGCTCAGCCCCGACTAACCGTTATGTGTGTCTCGCGGCGCCCAGAGTATGCGTGACGCGGCGGCGCGGGCCGCAGTTCCTCCGAGCCGGGGGTCCCGTTCGTGTCCCTTGCTCGCCGCCGGGCTCCTTGGCTGCTGCACCTACACAACCGACCAGTCACGTCGCAGCTCGCCACTTTGTCTGGCGGGGCAGGCGCGGCTGCCTTATAACCCGCGGGGGCCGGAGCATGCGCACAGGGGGTGGAGTCGGCCTTCCCGGCCGCCGCCCCCTCCCTGCCATACATACACCCTGCTCGGCATCTCGCGCCTCCACACGCTGCGGGCTGCGCGTGCCCGCTCGCTCGGGCGCGCGCGCCGGCGCCCCCTTCCCGCCACGTGACCCGGCGCCGCGGCCGGGAGACCCGGCACAGTCCCGGGCGCTTCTCGGCGCTCTGAGGGGTAGCTGCTTTTTGGCGCGTGCCCGGGACGCCATCGCGGGCCTCACCCCTCAGGCTCTGGAGGAGAAAAGGGAAAAACTGCCCTGAGGCCGACCCTGAGGTGCAGAGGGCGGTGGCGATGGACTGGCGGAGTCGAGGGACTGGACAGCATTTGAATGGACGTCGGTAGACTCCAATATGGGCCTGGAACCCGGGCTGGGGGACCTGGGGAAGTTGCTGGAGCCCTCCGGGCCTATTTCCTCGCGCTGCATCAGCCACTGTGGAGGCGTTAGGAAGTTTAATGTGCAATTTTACGCAAGTATCTCGTCACAGAGCCTGACCTGTGGCATTTGATGAACGCTTAGTTTAAGGACAAGCTGGTCAGGAGAAACTGGCCCCGGGGCAGAGGGTGTGTACGTTGGAAACGCAGATGTGAACACGCTCTCAGGCCAGAAGTTTATGAACACTGGATTTTGGAGACGGGTTGGAATTATAACTAGTGGGATTGGGACAGTTGCATGCTAAGCACTGTATCAGAATTATCTTGTGTGACCTTCACAACGGTATGAGATAGGTGCTAAGACGATTTTGTAAATAAGGAACCCCGGGCTTCATGAGGTTAACTGGCAGAAGTCACCAGGCTAGGAAGTGGCCAACATTTAAAGTCAAAGCTACAGAGCCTGATGTCACAAGAGCCATTTTCGGTTCTTCACCAAGCCCAGATAACCAAAGTTTCTTGAAGTAAACTAGTGAGTATTCTTAATGACTAGGACCCTTGATGTTTTTATTATTATGGGATGGGTATTTGTTTGATTGGTTTTGATTTCTTGTTTTGTTTTTTGAGATTGTCTCATGTGTATATAGCTCCACCTGGCCTGAAACTCACCACGTAGATCAAGCTGGCTTCGAACTAAGAGATCAACCTGAAAAAAAAAAAAAAATCAACCTGCCTCTGCCTCCCTACCGCTGAGATTAAAGGCATGCACCACCATCACAGTCGGTGTCAATATTTTTATTTGTTTAATTTGTGTTTTGAGACATGGTCTTGCCTTGGCTGGCTTGGAACTTGTAGACTAGACTGGCCTCGAACTCAAGAGGTCCGCCTGATTTTGCCTCTGGAGTACCACTATTAAAGGCATGTGTTCCACCGCACTGGTGAGAATATTATTTTAAAGGAGTCAGGCCTCCTGACTTTCAAGGCTCTTGCTGCATACCAGGACCCTGCCCTCCCCTTCATTTGTCTCCAGCCTCTCCTCACCTACACTAGCTTTCCTAGCCATCTGAAATAGGCCCTATGCTTTGTCTTGTGAATGAAGAACCAGAGATTAAAAAGAGGCCTTGTGTGCTGTCACCTACCCGCTGCCTCCTTTCAATATGAAGAGTTCAGCGTGTTAGTAGGATCTAGTTTGAAATCCACCACCAAGTGCTGCTTATGAGCGGTAATTTGTCTTTTATATCTGATAGATACATAGAAGGGAAAAGCTCTTCAGATCATTGGGGTGGTTGGAACTTAAAACAGTAGTGGTTTAGGATTGTTAGGATAAGGCATTCATTGGTACAACATTTAGCTTGCAGGCGTCTGGCCCCTGTTTAGATCTACAGCACCACAAGGGGAGGCAGTACTTGGAGTGTTCTGGTGGTAATAGTGTTCAGGGAGATGGTTTGAAAATGTGAGCTAGAGAGGTGGGAAGTTTCTGGATGGTTCTGTTTGTTGGCTGACCTCAAACCTTACCTGTGTATCTGAGGATGCTCATAAACTTATGATTCTCTCTACCCCCCCCCCCACACACACTGAGATCTCAGTTATGGACCTGATTTCAGGGTAGGCACTGTGGAATGTAGTGGGAAACTGATAAATCCACAATAGAAATCTGGGAGCCAGGCCTCTGGAGTTCATCTTTGATACTTGACAGCTCACTTATATTGTGTCCTTGGGCAAGTCAAGCCTCATTCTCCACTCTGCAAGAAAGGTAATACCTAGCTCACAGCCTGCCTCATAGGGTTGCTGTGACAATACAGTTTTACAATTAGGATTTACTTCAGACCTCATCCCCCACCCCAGTGCTTTGGTAAGTGCTCTGTGGCTAGGCTGTAGCTCTAGCATTTTGTTCTTAGTTCACTTAGGTTTTATTCATTTAAGAATAATCTTTTGGAAAATCTGGCTTTTTAGGGTGGCGGAAGGAGGTAATGTAATTAGAGGTAATTAGAGTAGTAATATATAGGAAGGGTCAAGAGAAGTTAAGGGACTGGGTGGTGGTGGTGGTGTACACCTTTAGGCAGTTGGATCTCTATGAGTTCGAGGCCAGCCTGGTTTACAGAGCCAGTTCCAGGATAGCCAAGGCTACATAGAGAAACCCTATCTTGAAAATACCAAAAGGAGTGAAAAAGAAGAGAGACCAATGGAGGAAGAACGTGGTCAAAAGCACATTACATATGACAGCATGAGAGAATAAATAGATTTTTTTCCCATAAAGCTTAATCTAAAACCCTAAAGGGTACCCATTAGCACCTACTTCCAAGGCACCGAGCAGGATTATATTCTTGTTATATGTTATGTTATGATTTTGTTTGTAGAGAGAGCTATTAATGTTTTGAAGACTCAGACTCTACAAAACCTGGCTTGGGGCAGATAGGGACTTAATGATGTGAGTTGAGTATAGGTTGGAATCAGAGGACCTAGTCCCATAATTGCTATCTGGGCCATTAATTAACTGAACTCTGACTTCAAGTCCTTGCCCAAAGCAAATTAAAGATAGTACTGAGAAGCCTGGGCTATTGTGATAATCAATGAGATAGTATTTGTAAAAAAGTGGTTAGTAATTCTTTGAAAGGCCTCCATAAGTTTTATGAATTAATACTTTTATTTTTAATTATACTTATTTAGTGTGTGTAAAGAAACTACTGTAGGTAATCAATCTTCTCTTTCCACCATGTGAGACCTGAGGATTGAACTCAGGTTGTCAGGCTTGGCAGCCAGTTCCTACTGAGCCATCCTGGACCATGAACTAATATTACTGTTATTTTTACAAGGTGCACGAGAGGGAAAGATCCAAAGATTACAGAGGGCTGAGCGTGTGGCACAAGGACTTTTATGTGACATCCAGTACTTGAGACAACAAACCAACAAAACAAAACAATAGGGAGATTCGGAGAAAACAATGGGATAGCACCAGTTAAAGTCCTTATTCTAACTTACACCATGACGCATTCAGGAAATAAACTAAGGAACATAGATTGAAAAATTTAGAGACTACTACGCACTTCCTCCAGACACAGGTGGATAGCAGGCTGCATCTCCATCTCACCAGGAAACTACTAAAGTTCCTCTGGGATCAAAGTGTAATTTTATAAGAACATGAGGGATGGTAAGGACAAAACCCATGGTAGCTGTGAAGGCCCTGACATCATGTCTGACAAATTAATACTGTCAGGTGGTCATGCATTTATTTTTAAAAATAGAACACAGTCTTACATTAGGAACAATAAAGGCCATGATGAGCCAGGGCAGTTTGCTGAGAATGAAACCAGTGAGATGAGTTTTAGAGAGATTCCATCATGCATGCTATCTAAAGTACCCATGCATTTTACTTACAAAGCCTGCCACATTAAAGACACCAAGATTCCCGAATCCCAACTGCGCTGGAACTGTTCATACTGTGAATTTCTTAGATTGTTAAATAAATTGAAATAAACTGTTCATATTTTTCACTATTAATTTATTTTAAACTTTCCTAGCCTAGTAGTTCACATCTTTAATCCTTGCGTTTGGGAGACAGGCAGATGGCTCTCAGAATCTTAGGCTAGCTTGGGCTACATAGTGAAACCTTGTCTCAAAAAAAAAAAAAAAAAAGAAAGAAAAGAAAGGAGGGAAGAAAAAGGAAAAATTAATGCTGAGAACAGGAGAATGATGGCATACCCCACAGACATTTAACATGAATGGAAAAGCCGTGCGTCATGGTATCCTTCTGTGATCCCCTCACTGGGGAAGCTGAGACAGGAGGAGGCATGAGTTTGAGATAGGCTTGAACAAGATACTGCCACGTTGATCTGGTTACACAGCAAGACCCTATCTCAAAAAGAAAATAAAATGGAGTCAGAGACGCTAAAAGATTATTTTCTGGGGCTGGAGAGATGGCTCAGTGGCTAAGAAAACTAGCTATTCTTCCAGAGGACTCAGGTTCAATTCCTATCACCCACATGGCAAGTTACAGCTGTCTGTAACTCCAGTTCCAGGGGATCAGACACCCTCATACAGACATGCTGATAAACACCAGTACACATTAAAAAAATAAATTATTTTTTTAAAAAAGATTATTTTCTGAGTGCACCCCTCTACTGAATGGTATGGTCAGAAGAAGCAAAACATCCAGTCACCAACTGGATTCTTATTTTATCACGAGTTATGCTCTTTATAACTTTTAGCTTCATAGCAAGCTTCCCAGAATCCACATCTGTTTTAAAGTTTGGTAAGTGGGTGACGATTCGGCATCTGCCTCAGATAATCTCTACTGTTGTTGAAGTGAGAAAAGAAAAATTCAAGAGTTACAACTCCATAAATTAGTGGCAGCAGAAGAAGTCAAAATTGAAAACTACTGAAAGTATACTTATTTGGAAAAGGAAAAAAATCCCAACATGTTTCCTCTGGAAATGTGGAACTGCTTACATTCTCTCAATTCTTTCACTTTTTGTGATACAGAAAACACGAAGTTGCTATTATACCCAGTTTACTAACAACACAAGAAAGGATTCTTTTAAAAACGGTGCTTATTCAGCTAAGAACATACCCCACACAATCTCTAATTAATGCAAAATATGAAAAATGAAGTTTACAAATGCCAGGCCTACTAAATAATCCTAATTGGTAATCCTTAGAAACATCTATAAGTATTTTACAAACACTATTATAGTTTGTTCTTGTAAAGTACATAAGAAGGAGAGATGGGAACGGACAGAGCTTGTAGCTGGATAGAGCTAAACCATGTATGAAACAAGTGCTAGCTAAGTAAAGACCAAGAGTACTACTCCTGAAGACCCTCTTTAAAGCCAAAGAGTGCTTATTCCAAGCATCCTCATCTAGTTTTAGGTTGTAAGTCAGTTATAGACTTGCTGCTTCCTGAAGCCTTCCTCTGGATCTCTAAAGTTTTTTGAAGAGTAACTCAGTAACAGTAAGGTGAGATCAAGGTCCTCTCTGAACTCTGTCCCCTCAGCTCTTGCTATTTTGAACCTTTTATCACTTCCCTGCACCAGTTTACATCCTGATCTGCTGCTTTCCTGGCTTCCTGCTCATGCGAGATAATTTGGCCAAGATGGTTTAACAGAAAACAAATGGCCTGCAATAAAAATTTCTTCAAGATGACAAAATAGTAAATGGTTACTTACAACTACTTTTCAGTATGTGTACCTGAGCAAGAATTTTGTTTGTGCCTTGGGGGAGGGGGACTGTGCCCATTTACTGATATATTCTTTTACCCATAAACATACAAAAATAATTTTACAAATTATAAAAAACGCATAAGTTGCCATATGTAGCTGTTAATACAAGAGAAATGCAGTTTGAGGCCATCGTAGCAAGCTTCTTGGTAGAGCCACACAACCATTATGAAAACTGTTGACCATGAAACTTGTCTATGACATCAAAAAGTCACAATTAGCAACTGCCTCTTCCCCATCGGAATTTAGGAGTAATGTGAATATAGGCAGCCAAGTTGGAGGTAGAGATATTAGACATAAATTTTGAACTTGATTTTAAGATCCCATATGGAGTTGGAAATAAGACACTTGCCTAGAGAATGTATGATGTCCTGTGTTCTATCCCTAGAACCACAGTAAATAAACCACACAGCCCCCTGGTGTGTGGCATAGCTTGTTACCTGTAACAGTTGTATCTAGGTGAGGTCCAGAAGCTATCACATCTACAGTGTAGCCTTGCCTCTACACTTGTACAAGTCCTGGGTTATAATGAAGCATGTAGTACACAGTTATAATCCCAGTAGT